GGAGGAGATGCATCTGCCACATGATCACTAGGGTCAGTGAAAGCAACAAAAGATAAAGGTTTTTGCATAACACATGACAGTGGAAATAGCATGTTTAAGATACTGCTCGCATATAATCATTAAGAAAATTTTTCAAACAAAAGACATTTTTTAAGTATAAAGAATAACACACATGTAATGTATCTAAAAAACACGATGACAAAAGTATAAAAATGATAAGAAAATTGAAAGAAAGAAATAAAAATTCACTCTTGAAAATATAACAGTTTTGACAATGAAAATCAGACGAAATATAAGTGCACGACATGTGAAATGTGCGGAAAAGCAAAAATGAAAATAGAAAGAGATGCAATAGTCTTTTTCTTTTTTGTTTTAATCATTTCACCCCAAGCAAAGTGATAATGCCACTAAGACGCAAGAGGTTACTGGAAGGGGAAAGGACAATGACAGAACAGGATTCAGGAAGACAGATGTCAATTGGCATTGCATTAATATCTTTGAAGATTTTAGGTGGTAGGAAAGCATGAAATCAGAAAGGGAGTTCCACAAGTGAGAAGTGTGAGAAGAGAAACTTTTAGAATAGAACTTATGGTTGAATCAAGCTAGTTCACCAGTAAATATGATGCCAATCCAGTAGCAGACTTAAATTCATGCAGCCAATGCACCTACGAGCAAAACTCATCAGAACAATAGCTATGAAAATATTTGTAGAAAAGAGATCATGTTGATAAGAAAGTGACTGAATACCAGGTCAGGAACGATTATATTATAGACACTTCTTTGAATTTTGTCAAGAGTTTTAATATATATAGTAGAAGCACCAGACCAGATATGGCAGCAGTATTCATTTCACAGATGATTGATAGATTTATAAATGTTCATTATGGATTCTGACGAGAAAAGTTTTACTTGCATTTTTTTTGTATCTTTTTATTATAATTTTAAGATTTTAAAAACATTATTAGCATTAACTTTACTGAGCAACATATTTATTGTTTTCTTTCATTATCTTCTGCCATCTTTCAGGTAAATTCATAATTCCAACCTCCCAGAACTTTTTATGTTTTTCAGCAAAGAATTGCTTTAGGTGCCTTTTACAGTTTTCCAGAGAATTTTATTCCCTAAGAGAATTCTACAAAACCAGAAAATTTTTATTTTGAATCATTTCACCCCAAGCAAGGTGGGAATGGCACTATTACGCAGGGGGTTACAGAGAGCGCAAAATGAGACAAAAGTCAGAGTATAGAGAGGATTGAGGAAAGAAGAAAAGATAAGCAGTATTCAAGATGGAAGATAGCAATTGACATTGAATTTAAGTTTTTGAAGATTGTATTTATCAGGGAAGCAAGTAAATGGAAGGGAATTCTACAGGTAGGAAGTGTGAGAAAAGAAACTGTTGGAATAAAAGTAGCAGTTGCATTTAACTATTTCAACAGTAAAAGGGTGGAACCTCAATGCCAATTTAGTAGCACAATTAAATTCATGTAGTTGGGGTACCAAGGAAAAAAAGCTCATCAGAGCAGTTGCCATGGAAATATTTATAGAAAAGACACAGGGAAGCCACGTCACATCTGTGAGAAATTGACTGACATCGAGATGCCAAGTCAAGATCAATTACATTGCAGATCCTTTTTTGGATTTTGTCAAGAACCTAGAAATGAGTAGCAGGAGCACCAGGTCAGATATTTTTAAAGATTGTAGTAAAAGGGAAGCAAGTAAATAGAAAGGACGTCCACAGACAGGAAGTGTGAGAAAAGAAGCTGTTAGAGTTGAAGTGGTGGTTACATTTAACTATTTTAGCAGTGAAAGGGTGGGACCTAGATGCCAATCTAGTAGCACATTTAAATTCATGTTGTTGGGGCACCAGGAAAAAAAGTTCATCAGAGCAGTTGCCATGATAATATCTGTGAAAATGAGAGAGAGAAGCCACACCATGTCAGTGAGAAAATGACTGAAGTTGTGATGCCAAAAAAAGCATGATGTCTGGTAAATATGATGAATAAAATTTATCAATGATAACAATTTTTGCTTGGTTGTCATAAAAACATGAAAAAATCATGAATTGTTAGACTCTTGCCCATGACTACTCCTGGACACTTTTGGTCTATTGCTGTCTTTTAGAAGTTTAGAATTTGTTTAAATCAGTCCTTTCATTCTTGGGAAGGAGCTTTTTGATCCCATCATATACATAGATGGAAATAAAAATTCATTACAGTTAGTAACTACTTTATTTTGCTTGCCACAATAATCTTGCATTCTACATTGTTACAAATTATCCACTTTTCATGATCATTCAAAATTTGTTTAAAAAATGAAATATTCTTTAAAAATAGTGAATTCCACATGGAAATAAGTTCCAGCAGTTTTTTTTTTCCTTTCATATATGAAAGTAACACATCAAACTAATTAACATAACAAAGCTGTTGCAAATCATTTTCAGTATTTGATTTGATATCTTGGGTATGCTGGCTTTATCCTACTTTTTATAATATTTATTATTCTCAAATCTTTATTTGATTGCTATCAACGAAAACTGTTTTATTTTATTTAAATTGTTCAACAAGAATTCTTCCACTTTGGATCATTCATAGTACCTGCTCCATAAATTGCACAAATCTTTCTTGCATTTCAGATACATTTTTACCTTTCGTAAAATAAAAATGCATAATATACTGAAAGTGTTGCTTATTTTATCTTCGAGCTTCATTGTTAGATTCAATAAACAGAAATACATCAATTTCAACATGTTTTTTTAATGTGTACTGAAATGACAGCTCTCATGATATAAATAGAAATGATCTGTTTGAATAAATTTAGTTAAAAGTAAATTTTTTTTTTTTCAAGATCTTTATCAGTAGATTGAACTTGAGATTCAATAGACATTCAAAGTATGGAGCCTCATTCAGAATGCAACTGTTCCTTATGATTGGAAAAAACACAGGGTCTGATCAGTGACAATGAAAGGTTTACTATAATTACTTTTACAATTTGAAATACTCATATATAATTATAATATTTTGATGATTGAGTGTGATATGCATATGAGGTCTGATGAAAAAGGTGCCATAAAAAGAAAACTACAATACATATCAATCTCTTTCAAAGTAATCCCCCTTCTGAAGCCACAAACTTTATTCAGCATTGTGTTCACTGATGGAAGCATACCCAAAACTCTTTTTTGGGATAGCTGCCTCTTCATGAAATCATGTTCCTTTCAAGTAGGATTTGATTTTTGAAGAGGAAAAGACACAAGGAGCTGGAGAATATGGTGGTTATCAAACATGGGGAATATTATGCTTGACCAAAAACTCTCGCACAAGCCATGGTCACTAATGGAACCTCTCTGGTGTGTTGAGATGACCACACTCTATACACATTCCTCCCAAATACTGCTGTAAACAAAGGGAGTGAGCAAGAATGTTATACCTTAGTGTGTACTTGTGACAGAGGTCAAGGTCAATCTGTGTAAAGCAGCTTCACTCTGCATGCTTTAGCTCCATTACCATAGCAACAGTCCTGATACTTTTTGATCAAGATCTTGTAAATATGAAAGAGAAGCAGGCAAGGCAAGTTTTGTAAAGTATATTTAAGAAAAACAAAATTGGTAATTCTGCTTTTGAACTCTTTTAGTATCACATTATATACTGAAGAATAATTTTAGGAGATGAATTACAGGATTTTTGTTATTTAGTGTTTAAAAATATTTAAGATTAGAAACAAAACATAATGTCCATCACTGTGAATTCTATAAACAAAAATTTGGGGGTTGCATTTGACAACCATATATCATGGTAAATAGATGGAACTAATTTCCTCAATACTATTTTTATTAAAATTGTATTGAGTACAAGAAATACATTCGTTAAAAAAAGGAATGACTGAAAATAATGATAATAGTAATTAGTAACTTCAATTGAATGGTTTCATTAATTTTTTCTGAATGTTAGAAAGGCATTCAATTCCATGACAATTGTCTAAATATACAACATGAATAACAAAAAGGAAAACAGAAAAAGAGATTGAAAAGAAAGAAGGAAAAAGAATAAGAAAGAAGGGAAAGGATGAGTAGAATAAAGTGAATATCATAAAAAATGAAAGAAGGGAGAGAGAATATGAAAGAGTGGATAGAGTGAGAATAAAAGGAGAGAGAATGAGAACAAGAAAGAAAGAGGAAAAGGAAAAGGAAAAAGAGTGAGAAACAAAGAAAGAGAGAATGAAAAGGGAAAATGGATAGAGAGAATGAGAAGAAAGAAAGAGGCAAGGGAGAATGAAAAGGAAAAAGGGATAAATTGAGATTCAGAGGAGCTAGAGAATGAGAAGAAAGAAAAAAAAGGGAGAATGAGAAGCAAAAAGTGATAGAGTGACAATCAAAAGAGAGAGAGAGAGAATGGGAGGAAGAAAGGGAGAATAAAAAGAAAAAAGGATAAAAAAGAGGAGTATGAGAGAAAAAAAGTAGAGAGCAAAATGATAGAACAAAAAAAAAGAAAGAATGCAAGGAAGAAAGGGAGAATAAAAATAAAATGATAACAAAAAGAGAGATAGAATCAGAACAAGAAAAAAGGAAAGAGAATGCAAAGGGAGATAGAATCAGAACAAAAGAAAAAAGGGAAAATGAAAAGGAAAAAGGGATAGAGTGAGAATCAAAGGAGAGAGAGACTGAGAACAAGAAAGAAACGACAAGGGAGAATGAAAAGTAAAAAGGGATAGACTGTGAATCAAAGGATAGAGAAAATGAGAAAAAGAAAGAAAGAGGCATTGGAGAATGAAATCTAAAAATAAGGATAGAGTAATTTGTACTGAATAAGGAGAGAGAGAATGAGAGAATGAAAAAGTCAAGGAAAAATGAAAAGAAAAAATGATAATGAAATAGAAAGAGAATAAGAACAAGAAAGGAAGAGGCAAGGGGAGAATGAAAAGGAAAAAGGGATAAAGTGAGAATCAAAGGAGAGAGAGAATGATACAAAAGAAAGAGGGAGAATAAAAAAGGGATAAATTGAGAGTCAAAAGAGAGAGAATGAAAAAAGAAAGATGGAGAATGACAAGAAAAATGGGTAGAGGGAAAGAGATAATGAGAAGAAAGAAAGAGTCAGTGAGTATAAAAAAGAAAGTATAAAAAGGAAAAAAGGAACAGAGTAAGAATCAAAGGAAAGAGAGAAAGCAATAAAGAAAGAGAGAGAATGAAAAGAAAAAAGGATCAAACGAGAATAAGAAAAATGGACAGAGACGATGAAATATAGAAAGTGTTTAAACATAGAAGAAGGATTATAACTGAAATAAGAAATAAAGGAGGTATACTGAAAAGACAAAAGGGATACAGTGAGAAGAGGAGAGAGACAATGAAATGAGAAGAGGAGTGGGAATAAGTGAAAAATAGAACAGTATAAGAAGCAAAAGTGAGAATTAATCTAGTAAAGAAAGGAGAAAGTAAATAAGTATGAAAGAAAAGGAGTGAGATTATGAAAGAGGGGATAAAGTGAGAATAAGAAATAAGAGAGTGAGAAAAGGAGAAAAAAAAAAGAGGAGTATTAATAAGAGAGAAAAGAGAAATAAACAATATTAGAGAAAGAGGAGAAATAAACAATATTGAAGAAAAAAAGTGGGGCAGGATGTATGTGGGATAGGTGTGAGAATTTAAAAAAACATAACATAAAATATGAAGGTTGCTGAAAAATTATCAGCTTGACCAAAATGTCCTTAATGAAAAGAGTAAAAATCTCATGTTTGGGAATTAGTCAAGCAAGAACTTTTCAGCAATCTTTGTTTGAAAGGGAGAAAGTACAAAAAGGAAAAGAGAAAGAATAAGAATATAAAGGAAAGAAGAGAGAAAGAGTAAAAGCAAAAAAGGAAGAAGAGAGAAAAAGTAAGAATAAAAGGGAAAGAAAAGAGGAAAAGTAAGAACAAAAAGGGAAAGACGTGAGAAAGAGTAAGAATAAAAGGGAAAGAAGAGAGTAAAAGTAAGTAAAAAAAGGGAAAGAAGAGATAAAGAGTAAGAATAAAAGGGAAAGAATAGAGAAAGAGTAAGAATAAAAGGGAAAGAAAAGAGAAGGAGTAAGAACAAAAAGAGAAGAGAGGAAAAGTAAGAATAAAAGGGAAAGAAGAGAGGAAAAGTAAGAATAAAAGTGAAAGAATAGAGAAAGAGTAAGAACAAAAAGGGAAGAAGAGAGAAAGAGTAAGAATAAAAGGGAAAGAAGAGAGAAAGAGTGAGAATAAAAGGGAAGAAGAGAGAAAGAGTAAGAATAAAAGGGATGAAGAGAGAAAGAGTAAGAATAAAAGGGAAGAAGAGAGAAAGTGTAAGAATAAAACAGAAAAAAGAGAGAAAGAGTTAGAACAAAAGGGAAAGAAAAGAGGAAAAGTAAGAACAAAAGGGAAAGAAGAAAAAAAAAGTAAGAATAAAGGTGAAAGAAGAGAGAAAGAGTAAGAATAAAAGGGAAAGAAGAAAGAAAGAGTAAGAATAAAAGGGAAAGAAGAAAGAAAGAGTGAGAACAGAAGGGAAAGAAGAGAGAAAGAGTAAGAATAAAAGGGAAAGAAGAGATAAAAAGGTAAAGAAAAAAAAGGAATAGGAAGAAATGAAAACTAATTTCAATAACCTGGTTATATTGTTCCTGAATTAAAATTTAGTTAATATATTTTTACAAAATATTAAAATAATATTTTAGCTTTATCTGCAATCAATACAAGGTGATGATTACATATTAAATCCAATGAGAAACCGTAATGCAGTATATGGTTTCTGAAGTACTGTATTTCCTGTCATCAAGGACGTGTCCTAAGTTTAAAGTTAACATTTTTAGAATAAAGAATAATCATAAAAATAAGTTCTCGGCCTTTTCCCCTACCCTACCAAGATGTTTTGTGGGTGGTTTAGCAACATGCTAAGCCACATCTTGACCACCTGTGAACTGGATTTTATCATTTTAACCTTATAATACAAAGACACAAGTTTACTTTGTCTTAGATGTTTGAGTGGTAGAGACACCTCAAACATAATGATACTTCAGTTACACAATTCATTGTTCTCCCCAGCAGTGTTTTTCCATTTACTGAAATATTGGATGAAGTTCCATTAAAAAGAAAAAATTTATCTGAGTTTAGCTGTTTTTAAACTTTTCATCTAGGGTAGAATATATGGAAATTTAAAAAAAATGAAGTTTACTCAAATGTAAAACAATAAACAAAATAAACTTCACTTATATAAATTCTTTAAAAATATTTTCAAACTAGGATATTCATTGACACAGAGTGGTTCTACATGTGTTTAACTTCCTTGAGACAACTAGCCTGCCATGGGAACATTCATATACTTATTTTTTATGATAGTTTGTTTATTTTCTACCTTAAATAGTGTATAGTTTATAAATCCAATTAAGAGATTACATATAGGAATTCTGTTTACTGTCTGGCATTGATAACCTTCCTCCTCAAGGATGCACAACAAATTTTCGAGACTTATTTCATCCTTGATGATGGCAAATACAGTAACTTAAATGTATTTGGTTGTGTAATAAGTAATTTTCATTTGTAATGATGAATGTATTATTTTAACAAACCATTCCTTAGATATATCAAGTGATGAAAAATGGTTTGCTTACATCAATGTTAATTCAAAAGGTAGAGGATTGACAAAGATAAATCTCCACAAAAAGTTCAGCTCCAAGGAAGGAATGTAATGTGTGTGGCAGGAAAGTCATTTTGAGTTTTTAAAATGCATTGAAACATTAAACTATTTAACTCATAACTGGTGGTATAGAAAAGGGTATGTGTACAAAAGTCAATATAACAAAATTCTAACTCAGCTCACCAATTTCTCTTTTGAGTTGCACTACAAAGTGCCTTCTGAAAACTAAGCAAAGTTTTAAAAAACAGAAAATTGTCAGAATTTTCTGTTTCTTAAAACTTTGTCAATGAAAAGAGTATTGAGAGTATTGAACTGCTATGTAATATCAATCCTCCTATATGGCAGTGAATACTGGACAATTTTCTTATACATGAAGATGAGACTTGAAGCAAAAGAAATGGGATAGAAGGATACTGAGAATACCATGGACTGAACATATGAGTAATGACAAAGTTTTAGAGAAAATAAGGAAACTTATAGAAACATCAGAAAGAGTTGGAATTTCTAGGGCATATAATAAGGAAAGAGAGCTTGGGAAATTTGACACTGACAAGACACATTATAAGCAAAAGGAACAGAGACAAACAGTGCATAACCTACTTAAGGAGGTTGTGTAAATGGATAGCAGAACAGGGTTTAGGAGTGATAGCAAAAAGACAAAATTTATTAAGAGCTATACAGGACAGGAAGTTGTAGAGAGCCATGATCAGCAATATACTGAAGGCACATGACATATAGAAGAGGAATCATTACACTATCCACATATAAAATATATATATTTATATATAAATATTATATATATATATATAAAATAATATATATACATGCTATGTGTAAATATAAAAAAAACACACAAGTGGCTGTTACACCCAGCAATTTAACAAGTCAAACAAACCTTTAAAACTTGAATGAGGGAGCAATGGAACAGGTGGATTTAGCAAGAAGAGTTTCCTACAATTCCTGACAGATGAAAGAAAAAAAATCGATGCTTGGGGATGTGGGTGCAGAAATCTTTGGGAAAAAATAAGAAGTTGTACAGTAGTGGCTCACTTTGAATGCTTGTCATCTTGAACTGGCCTTGAAATGCATATGCCTCTCAAAAACTTGTGTTTAACCTAAAAGTATATCTGTCAAAAACCTGGCAAAGCATTGGAAGTGTCTTAATAAGAGGTCTTGGTAACAGGTTTTCTAAGCTTCAGCTAAAGTTTTATTCAGGTCCATTGCTCAAGTTTGTCAGCCATTGTAAAGATCGCAGAGCCATTTGCACACAATGTATTGAATTATGAGACTTAAGTAGATAAGATTTATTGATCCATCCCTTCCAGAAGAGTGTGAAAGTTGCATAATGGTTATCAGAGCAAAAAATGGAATCAGTGAGTCAAGTTCAAATCCTGACAGTATTTACTTTTGTAATGCTCTTGGGGAAAGCATTCAATCCATATATGGATTAAATATCAGAGTAAATTGCTCTGTCTAGTTTTGGGCAGCAGATAGTCTAGTAAAAGGAATACTTAAGTTCAAATCTTTGATGGGAGCAGCAGGGTTGAGACTCTGCAGTCTTATCCAAGAATAAATCAGATGAGGGATTACTGCTTGCTGATGGTATCATGTAACCTAGTATAACCTGTTACATGTTGGAAAGCAAATGAAAGCCATCAAGTAATTCCCATTGCTTTGAGAATTGCCAAAAAAAGAAATTACTTTGCATGGCACTGCAAAAATTTCATGAGCCATAGATTGAACTGGAAATGAAATCCAGAAGAAATCTAGGAAAAAAAAAAAACAAAAGCAGTAAATTATATCTTTTTGATTATTTTAATATTTCTTAAATTCATGCAAATCTTTTCTTAAATTGAGATTTACATGTATGTATATATATATATATATATATATATATATATATATATATATATATATATATATAAAATGAAATGGGTTAAGTCTGAAAAGTATTTAATAGATTTTCTGTTTTTTACGTTATTTTTAATAGATACAATTTATTTAAGTAAATGCTCTCTTTTTTTTTTTAACTCCCTTCTTTATTCCAGTTTCCCTGAGAGCTATAATCTCCAGCTATTCAAATGTAATGTCAATCGACATCTCCAGTTGCCTTGATCTATCCACTACCCTTCTCCTCATTCTTTCTTCTATCACTCCTATCTGATCTTGCTCCAAATTTTCTGTAACCCCTTGCGTCCTAGTGGCTTCCCGCCTTGCTTGGGGTGAAACGCTTAAAAAAAAAATAAAATAAAATAAACAGTATTAATTACATTTACTGGCCTGAATGTCTAAGAAATTTTGAAGAAAATATGTGTTCTCTGATAAGAATCAAACATATGTCCTATACAGAACTTATGAAAGATCATTAAGGTATGTTTCATGAGCATGGAAAGATCATCAGAGATTTGTTGTTTATTAACAGTACTTTGGACTTTGCTAACCAGCTGCTTCTCTGTAGCTCAGTTAAATGAATAGTATCTATTAAAAATAGTATCTATTAAAAATAACATATAAACAGAAAATATATTAAATAATTGCCAGACATAATCCATTTCATAATATGTTGTCAATGTTTACATAAAGATACATTTTGTGAGCAGATATGATCATTTGGGAAAGATCATTGAAAATTTGTTGTTTATAAACAGTAATTTCGACATTGCTAACCAGTCACTTCTCCGTAACAGATCAATTGATGGTTGATAAACAGCAACAAATAACTTTGTTGCCTTCACTCTGGAAACACAATCTGATATGGCTGTACATCCTCGTGTTCATATGTAAAAATCATATCTACCTGCACATGATACAAATATCATGCCATTGTTAAGCTGAACAGTTCTCAGTTAATTCACTACTACACAGATTAAACATTGAAGACAGACTAGTGACAAGTATACATGAATGACAAATGTAACCAAGTGTACATGGTAACACAGCTATATCTGCCATAAACTTTTTTAAACATAATAACTCAATAAGAAAGGATTCGCGGTTATATACTTATATGGACTTTTGCCTTTGTTTTGGTGTGAGGAACCCACCCCACAAAGTTTTTAAAAGTATTTTTGATACATACTGTAAATATATATATATATATATATGAGTAGATACAAATGAGTTACAGTACTTTAAAGGCAAAATAGAACCTTGCTTTATCATGAGGCACTTTGTAGCTGAGTGGTTGAGGGAAGAAATACAGCAAATGCTTACTATAATTTTAATGTTAAATGTCAAATATATAGGCATACTTTAAATTTATATTTTTAAATTTTTACATCAAATTTATAACTTAACCAACTTAATTCATCTTTAATTGTTCTCATTTTTATTTTTACATTAATTACTATTGTTTTTAATTATTCTACCTGATATCAACAGTAGTTTTGTATGAAAAGAAGATATGTTGTGTAGCCTGGGCTATAAACTTTCCACAGAAAAATCTCAGACTTGTGCACTGTCAATATATTTTTGTCTTAATAAATTATTTTCTCTTTTAATTAAATCCCCCACAAAATGATTAATTCCATTGCTAAAACAATCATTTGTCTGAAGAAGTTCCTTCAAGAGATAAAACACTTTAGTTTATCAATTTTGTCATTCAATTACCCACTATTGGTCTGATAAATTTGTATATAAAATCTTCCCTTCATAAATTTGAGATGGTGTTGGAAAGTTCCCAGATTAGGATTTCCTTGGCAAACTCCAGATTCCAATCATATGAGATAGTTGATGGCTTGTTTGGGGAGGATTGTCATGAATTAAATTTATTTCAATATTCCCAGGTATTTCACTGAATCCTCATAGTTTTCAACCAGCATTTGACTGACCTTGAAATGCACTCAAAAACTTGTGTTTAACCTAAAAAAATGTTTGCCAAAAGCCTGACAAAACATTTAAAGTGTCTTGGTAACAGGTTTCATATAAAACTTTATGCTTGTCCATTGTTTAAATTAGTCAACCATTGTAAAGATTGCAGAACTGTTCAAACACAATCGTATAAAACCTTTCATAATAATTGAGCACGAGTCAATAACAGACTCAGCAGGCTGTGTGCTAACGAGTGTTTGCTACACATGCATTATCATCAAATGACAGTCACAGTACATTACAATCCAGGATTATTTATTCTTCATGTATATCTCTTCATATATATATATATATATATATATATATATATATATATATATTATAATAAAATTACAGTAAGATGGAATCTGTAAAAACCAGTTGAATATTGAAATTTGGATTTCAACAGAATAAAAACA